TGAGAATATGCTTAAGGTTGGCAGACTGTGAATGGCTATCCAACTACAGAAACAGTTTCTCCTCCCTTGGTGTTCACACCTCAACTGCTAGCAGAGCACCTCACCCTCCCTGATTGAACTAACCTCGTTATCTCCACACTGATATATACCTGCCTCTGGAGATTTCCATTACTTGCATCTGAAGAAGTGAGGTTCTTACCCACGAAAGCTTATGCTCCCAGTACTTCTGTTAGTCTCAAAGGTGCCACAGGACCCTCTGTTGCTTTTTACAGATTCAGACTAACACGGCTACCCCTCTGATACCTGTTCATAATGTGTTTCAAGTTCTTGGCTAGTATGCTGGGAAAGCTCATATGATATTTGGCCAGAGTTTAAATCTGGCCTTTCTAAAAAGTGCTTTCTTACCATGCATTGGTGAAAGTTATTAGTTGATATACTTGCATCATCTGTTGCCCTTCTTTATTGTGTGGGGTTTTTTTTCATTTTGCGATGTCTTTTTGAAAAGTTCATGCTGGAATTTGCTGTCTGTAAACAGATGTGGTTATACATAATCCATGACTTGATGAAGTTATTAGGATGCAGTTGAGCAGCTAGCAAGAGGTGGCAGAAACAATAGTTTGATAGGCAGGCTAGTTTCTATCCTTTGGGTTGATAACAAATAGATCTTAATTAAGAGCTTTCCGTGACTGCAAAATCACAACTGGTGTCACCTTTCTCCATATTCTGAAACAAAAACAATGAGGAATTGAATTATTTTGGTCCTTGTATATTTTTTAAATGTCATCTTTTGAAATATGGTAACTTCAATAAAACTGGAATTAAAATGTCCAAAAATAAATATCATTTTCTATAATCTGTTACTACTTCAGGTTTTTAAATGTCTATTCTTTTCCCCCCCTGTGCTTGCTATGGATCTAGACAAAGCCTGGTGTTATTCGTCCAGGGCCAGTGAAAACAAAAACCTTATTAAAAACGGAGGAGCCCTATCAACCAAACCCTTTCAAAAAATACCTTGAAGAAACCAGAGATCCAGATATTGAGCAGGTGAGTGCTTTATTTAAACATCACCCCCGCCGCCCTGAATTTGTAGTGGTTGTCAGTTTCCTAAGAAGCTGATGAAGTTGAATCTTGGATTCTTGTTTATTTATGTGCATATATATTAAATAGCAGCAATATATACACCACCCTCCCATTTTATATTTAAATACTTTACTATTAAAATTGTATCAGCCCAGATGATGTTCCATTTCGTATTATGCAGTGGCTTAGCTCCTTCTCTCTGGCTTTTAAAAGAGTGGAAAATAGCCTGTATATGAATATACAGCCTGTATATTAATGAATTATGATCATGGTCATTTTGTAGCATCTGTATGTAATTTTTTAAGACATGGACTCATTAGGACTAGAAGGCTTTGTAACCTTATACAGAACCATCTACTGGCAAGTTAATGTGTCCTGATACAAAGCATAACATAAACAAGAACTGCCTGATTAGATAACCAGCCCTTATTTTTGATAATTTGTTACCCATGTCAATTTAAAATCACTTTGCTTCCAGTATCAAACATGCCACTTTGTGTAATGTCTTTAAGAACATCTTGTAGGGTCATTAAGAGCACCTTGTAGTGATAATACAGTATTTTTCATTTCTGAGCGACTTACTGACTTGGGTCGGCCACTGTCTCAAAGCAACTATATGTGTGTGAATCTATCAATCTATATAGGTAAATATGTGTTTGTGTGTATTACTTTGAATTAAAACCTTTAACACAATATGTAATTAAATTCATGGAGAAGCTTCCAATTAACGTACACAGTATGCTGTGAATCATCCATCTGGTAGGTTGTAGAGGATCACAATGCTGAGCAGTTCTCTTGCCAGACGAAATGGGAACAAGGCACCTTTATAATTAAATTCTCCCTAGCTCTAGGGCCTTCTAATCACATTTTAATCACTCTAGGAACAAAAAAGTAATAATTAAAAAGCTTTGTTGTTAAAAACATTTAAAAAAGAAAGAATTTTATTTTAACTGTCTCCCTCCCCACAATGGGACAAATTCTACTCTCATTTGTCCTAGATTGGCTCCATTGACTTTCCCAATAGAATTGCACTGGTGTAAATCAGAGCTAAGTCTGGCCTATTGTCTGTAATATACCAATGGGCTCGAACATCCTCTGCATGTGTTTTCATAAATGCTTCTTTATAAAATATAGGGTTTGTCTCTAGAGCTGGATGACCATGGGGAATAACAACACTTGGAACTTGAATCAACAATGTGATGCTGTTGCAAAAGAAGCAACTGTAGTTTTGTATTGCTTTAACAGAGGCATAGCATGTAAGTCACGGAAATGATAGTACTGCAGTAGTCAGCGCTGCTTAGAACTCAGCTGGAGTACTGTGTCCAATTTTGATCACCGCTATATAGAAAGGATGTAGAGAAATTGGAAAGGATCCAGAAGCAAGCAACAAAGATGATCAAATGGATGAAATGCAAGCCATATGAGCAAAGGTTGAAGGAACTGGGTATGTTTAGTATGGAAAAGAGGAGATTAAGGGGGGACATGATAGTGGTCTTCAAATACTTGAAAGACTGTCATAAAAAAGATGGAGCAAAATTGTTCTCTTTTGCCACAGAGGGCAGGACAAGAGGCAATAGGTTCAAACTACAGCATAGCAGATTTAAATTCAATCTCAGGAAAAACATCCTAACTGTAAGAACAGTAGGACAATAGAGCAGACTGCCCAGGAAAATCATGGAATCTCCAAAGAGAGTTTGGCTAGCCATCCATCTTGGATGGTTTAGACACAACAAATCCTGCCTCTTGACGGAGGGTTAGACTAGATGACCCTTGCAGTCCTTTCTAAGCCCATGTTTCTCTGATTCTAGATCTGAGTAAGAAACAGTTTTCCTTACCCACAAACATTTTTGAGATTTCAAAAATTTTCCTGTTCCACAATGGGATGAAATTGAGTCCTTTGAAAAAGTTTAATAAAAAATGAGAGAAAGTGGGAGAGGCAGATCCACCCTAGAATAGTCAGGTGGTTAGCCACTCACATAGGATGTGGGAGATCCAGTTTCAGATCGCTCTGTCTAATCACATACAAGGTGAGTGCCCTAACCACAGGGCTATAGAGTCAAGTTTCTCTCACTGGCCCACTGAATATTTAAAAATGTATATGTAGTAGAACAGGTCTAACAAGAGAGATTGAGAGAGAGCCATCTGTGACACTCTGTACCTCGAGGGAACACCCTACACCCCCATGTTCATCTTTATAAAATGATTGTGTGGTATCCAATGCAAAGTTTGTCATATTGGGTGTCTTCGGAAGGCTTATAATGCACTGAGCATGGTTGTTATTGTGATGTTATAGTAATTGTTACAGTCATATTATAGTAAGGTTATAGGTTACAATTTCATGTATATAGTTATGAGGCTGAAAATGTGTCCTCATGGGTTAAAGGAAGCCCATGCAAAAACTCTCCAAGAACAGAGAGGCAGTTCACACCTCATAAGGGCATGGATGGGACAAACCCAGCCCAGCCTCACAGGAGCAATGGACACTGGCTTAGGCAGCAACAAAATAATGTGTTAGACCCTCGTGGGAGTCACTCCCTTCCTTTGGTCAGTGTGGGTCTGTGATGAGGTAATGCTCACCTGACTCTGAAGGGGGGGGGCAAAGTCAAGAGGAAAGAAAGGACATGATAAAAGGGAGAGACATTTTGCCATACTCTCTCTCTTCCACCTACATCTACAGACACCACCACCACCAAGCAACTGAAACACTGATCAAAGAGGAGACCCTGACTGAAAAGTAACCAGCCAGCCTGTGGTGAGAAGCATCTAAGTTTTTAAGGACATCGAAAGTGTTAAGATCAGTTTAGAATGCGTTTTGCTTTTATTTCATTTGACCAAATCTGACTTGTTATGCTTTGACTTATAATCACTTAAAATCGATCTTTATAGTTAATACATTTGTTTATTCTACCTGAAGCAGTGTATTTGGTTTGTAGTGTGTCATAGGCTCCCCTTGGGATAACAAGCCTGGTACATATCAATTTCTTTGTTAAACTGATGAACTCATATAAGCTTGCAGCATCCAGCGGGTATAACTGGACACTGCAAGATGGAGGTTCGTAGGGTTGTGTCTGGGACCGGAGATGTTGGCTAGTGTCATTTGCTTGCAAGTAGCTGGGAGCAGCTTACATGCCAGAGGCTGTGCATGAACAGCCCAGGAGTGGGGGTTCTCATAGCAGAGCGGGGTAAGGCTGACTCCCAGAGTCAAGGATTGGAGAGACTTAGTAGGTCACCAGTCCAGACAACATCAGACGGGAACGTCACAGTGGCGCAGCAAGCAAGGTGTATGTACGGCTTGTTAGTCCAAGTGAAGGTCACACTTTAAGCACTGATATTTGTGATTTTAAGTGAGTCTTAAGTTCAGTGGCTAAGAACAGTCAGAAGGAGGTCACAGTTTTGTTATTTTCTGTTTGCTTATTTCGGGAAAGGGAAGTAGGAACAGAAAAGCAGGAAAATGAGTGAAAGCAGTGAAGTGATTGCGAAGTTGGAGCTTTTTAGGCTGCAGTCTGCAGAAAAGAAGCGGGAGCACCAGAGATTACTGCAACTGAAAGAACTGTAGATAAAAGAAAAAGAAAAGAGTCAGCCAGAGAAGAAACTGCACACAGAAGGGCTATGGAAGAAAAAGAGAAAGAGAGAGAAGAAAGAGTAAGAGAGTGGGAAGAAAGAGAAAGAGAGTGAAAAAAACAACTGGAACTGCTAGAGAAGCAGAACCAGAACCCCCTGACCCCAACGAGTCCCATCAAGTAGCTGGTAGCAGCTTACATGCCAGAGGCTGTGCATGAACAGCCCAGGAGTGGGGCTTCTCACAGCTGAGCAGGGTAAAGCTGGCTCTCAGAGTCAAAGATTGGAGAGGCCTAGTAGATCACTGGTCAACATAACACCAGAGGGGAACGTCACACCATCTGAGAATAGTCTGATGATAAGGGCACCCACCTGGAATATGAGAGAATCAGGCAGAATAGTGACATGAACTTGGTTCTCCCAGATAAGTGCCCTAACCACCTCGCTACTCTGGGATGAGTCTCTCTCTCTCTCTCTCTCCCACCCCTCCCTCTCCCCCTCCGCCACCTGATCTCCATTCCTCCCCTCCACCCATGCTGGTTTTGACCAGAAATTTCATCTTGGACCTGAAAAGATATCAATTAAACTTTCATATTTCTGCAAAAAGCTTATTTTGATGAATTAGTGTTTTCTGACAAAAAACTGTTGTGTTATAAAATTTCCATCAAGCTCTTCTCAGCAAGATATCCTTTGCAGTGACTAGCTGAATATTCCTGACTGCTTTATTACTATTTATTTAAAAGGCCGAGTGCCCTTATGTATAGGAGTAAGTTTGTAGGATCCGAATCTGTCTAGTTTCTCTGTGGGCATCAATTGATGTCAATGGCAAAACTCTCAATTGAAATGTATTACTCTGCAGCTTATCCTTTAACCTACTTTCTTTACTCTACATTAAACCTTAGCCAACCATTTTGAACTTAATATTAGAATTATTTTATATATGTACATAAGCTCTATTGTGCCTAGAGGCACAGGCCCATTGGATGCTGAGATGGTTAGTTGCAGAGAGGAACACATGCTTCCCTTTACTGGTTGACCTTAGGGTTGACCACAACCAACTACCACAATTTTAAACACCACAATCTCTGCCATCCCTCGGTGCTAAGTGGTGTTTTAAACATGTTAATGAACATATGTTGGCAAACATGTTTGCAAACCACACTTCATTTTCCTAGGCTGGACAGGGCCTTAGTATCACCATGAGATGTGATGGCTTTGTCAGACCATTTCTCCAATTTGTCCAGATCGTTTTGAATTATGACCCTGTCCTCCAAAGCAGTTGCAATCCCTCCCAGTTTGGTATCATCTGCAAACTTAATAAGCGTACTTTCTATGCCAATATCTAAGTCGTTAATTAAGATATTGAACAGAGCCGGTCCCAAAACAGACCCCTGTGGAACACCACT